ATTGTGGTTTTAATGGAATGGAATAGTGGTTTTAAATTTCCTTGTTACTGGCGAAGTTGAAAATGTTTTCATGTCTTGGTTTTATTGGCCATTTACATTTTTTTTTTTCTTTGTAAGGTTTATGTTTTGTCCTTTTAATTGGTTTGTTTGCCTCTTATATATGTCCTGTATATACACATATATGCATATATATACACATATATATAGTAATACATGTTTTAATATGTCTTCTAGTGTGTAGCTTATCTTTTAATTTGTAGTGTCTCTCAATGAATGAAAGTTCTTAATTTTACTTCATCAGTCATCTTATAGTGTGTATTTTTAGAGTCATGTTTAAGAAATCTTCTGTTTCTGAAGGTCATAAAGACATTCTTTTATAGTTCTTCTAAAAGTTTTAATAAAGTTTTGCTCTTTTCATGAAAGTCTTTCATCCATCTGCCAGTTTAAGAAATGAAAATGTGATGAATCCTTACTTAAAATACATAGTTCACATGTTTGCTGGATGCCCATTGAGTCTGTGATGCCAGAAGTTTGGCAAACTTTGCCTTAAATAATGAGGTAGTTGCTATAGTGGGGGGGAACTCCCCAAATAAGCATACAAGGTATCTTACATTAATGATGGATATTTTAAGAGATTTGTTAGATTTTTTTTTTTCACAGTCACAGGCTCAGTTTAAGTTACAGACACTGATTTCTGAGTGAACTGGTTTGAATAACTGAGTATTACTAATCTGCATAATAAGTGACTATCAAAAATCAAGTTAACTAATCATAGCATGGTAAAACTGAAAAATACCCAGCTTGTCTTTTTAAAATTTTATAGCCTTTTCATATATAAGATGTGTAAGATACAGAGATGTTTAAGATGTATAAGAAGAGCTGCTCAAAGCCTGCGATGACTCTGTAGGCCTTTATCTTGTGTTTTCAATGCCATGACCTTTATGGTTATTTGTCCATCAGTATTGCACCACCTGCTCTGCCACCTTCCTTGTCTACTGTCCAGTGTTTATCGTTTCCTCGGAAAGAAGTAAAACCAGCCCTTCTGTATAAGCAGTTTATACCTGTAGATAGACTTTTATGTGGAGCTAAAAACAGATCAGCTTTATTACCAAAGGACGGTTCATGTGCTTGGCTTCATCAGCATTAATTGGAACATGACATCTACAACAAAATATTACAGCCTGAGACAAAAAGTATCCTTTTGGAAATACTGGTACTTTTTAAAGTATTATTTGTTATACAACATAATTAACATTAAGTCAATAATTACCTGCTAAAAAATTCAAAATAGAAGTTTTAATTTAAAATCATTGAATGGGATACAAACATTATATTTTAAACAGGAAAATAAGCGATTAATCTCGTAAATTATTTCTTTTCCAAAGAAGAGCCTGCTTTGCCATGAGATTTTGCTTGTTGCTAGTTAGAATTTGGATTTCTTTTTTTAAATTTTTGGTAGGGATGGGGGGAGCGAGGGGGTCTTGCCATGTTGCCCAGGCTGGTCTTGAACTCCTGGCCTCATGTGATCCTCCTGTCTTGGCCTTCCAAAGTGCTGGGATTACAGGTGTGAGGTACCACACCTGGCCGAGAACCATTTTATTAAGCTCATGGAGACTAATTAGAATTCTGAATATCTCTGAAAATCTTTCTTTAAATATATATGCTATTGATATATCCAATTTAATAAGATCTAAAAGCAAATAGTAAATACCACTGATTTTTGCCCTTTTGGTGTATATAGTCCATAAAACTGAACAATAGGGGATCTAATTAGTTTCTAGTTTGTTGATGTTTGATTTTAGGGGACCACCAAAAACCCTATAAAGGCAGACACCATTTAAAGTTTTCTTGTACTATTAGAGAATCACAATTCCTGGAAGGGTTTATGATCCATCATGATTTGTTACTAACATTGTCAGCTACCCTGCAGTCAGTTGACAGTTCAGTGAAGCAATGCAAGTATAGTAGAGAACAAGTTTAAACAAGGTTGCCAAATAGCCTGGTGTGTGTCCATGCACTTTTACCTGCTTTGGGAAAAGGGAAACTGTTACAACACAGCTGTCCTTTGTCACCTAGAAACCTCTAGAGTAACTAGTGACAAGGCTTATGCATTTAAGCCAGATAGTAGAAAATAAATGGGTAACTTTTGTAATTTCAGTAGAACACACAAGAGTTATTGATCAGATATTGGTTTCCAGTATGTAATGGTCACTTAAATATTTAAGATTTGTCAGTGTTCAGTGTTTTTAAAAAAATTCTATGTTTAATGTATAAATCATGCACAGTTTAGTGTGTTTCTTGGCACTCAGTTACCCACTGCTCTTAGCAATGTAATAGCAGAGTGAGAGAGTTTGTTTAGATCTGTTTTAAGCATTCATAGTCTTTTTTGTAGAGGCAAATACTGTAGACCATTCAATGTTAAGTACTCTGTTTTATCTTTTCCCATTTGGAGGAGCCATTAACATTTTCATTGAATTTTTCTAACACTCTGAGTAAAAATGTTAGGATTGTTGCCTTTTCTGTCTATTTAATACAATCAATCATTTTTATCTTAATGTGGACTACAGTGAATTGATGGAACTCTGACTTAATTTTCATTGACACTTTACATTTAAAAATGGAATTTGTAACGTGGTAAAATGCACAGTGAAATAGGTATAAGAAACCTCGCTTAATACTGTTATTAAGGCGTTATTAAAATATGTGATCTTGGCTACGTCATTCAAATTCCTGGCTGGAAATGAGAGTATTGAACTAAATCTCCAATAATTCTAGTTCTTATGTGAACATTTCAGATGAAAACCAGCATACGGTATTTTTGTAAATTCTCCCAAGTGGTATATCTGTTTGTATCAGGCAATTTGTGTGTGTGTGTGTGTTTGTGGCCATTTTGCCCAGAAAAGGGTGTGTGTGTGTGTGTGTGTGTGTGTGTGTGTGTGTATGAGAGAGAGAGAGAGAGACAAAGAGAGTGGCTATTTTGCTCAGAAAAGGTTAGTCAGGGCACTTTTGTTTTTATAATGGATATTAGATTTATTAAAGCTATACATTAAACAATGAAGAATTTTATTACTCAATTATTTACAAATGTAACATATTTAGCAATCATTTTAAGAGAGTTTTTTTATATCTTACGATCCCTTTACATTGCATTTATAAATTTAGTGTTTTTTTTTAAGTACTTAAATTATCTAAAATTTTTGCAAGTTTAGAAGATGTAGGAAAAATGCTCTGTTTTTCCTGCTATACTCTCACAGCACAGAGCACTTCTGACAGTAGATGTGTGAGGGTATTTCCCTACACACCAGGCGGTAAACCAACTTTGAGGCAGATTCTCCAGTGGACAGCAGGTGAGTGTCCTCTAATTCAGTTCAGTTCTGACACTCTGCCTGGAGATAGCATCAGATCCTACAGGTGAGGGCTCAGTCCCACAAAACTGCCCCCACGTTTGATGACAGCCAAAGGCCCCAGGTTGTTTTACTTGTGCTTCTAACCAATGAGTTATAAATTGGGGTTTACCCTACCCTTGCCTTGTGTTTAACTAATTTGCTAGAGTGGCTCACAGAACTCAAGGGAACACTTCACTTACATTTACCAGTTTATTGTAAAGGGTATTACAAAAGATACAGATGAAAAGATGCATCGGGCGAGGCATGTGGGAAAGGGCCTGCAGCTTCCATGCCCTCTCTGGGCACATCACCCTCCAGAAGCCTCCACGTGTTCAGTTACCCTGAAGCTCCAAACCCTGTCCTTCTGGCTTTTTATGAAGCTTCATTATGATCCATTACATCATTCATTGGCCATTGATGATCAACTCAGCCTTCACCCCTCTTGCCTACCTGGAGGTCAGGGGGTGGGACTGAAAGTTCCAACCTTCTAATCACTGATTACCAGAAGAACCTGCTTAGTTCAAGACTTTTTCAATTTCTTCATCTCAAGCAATTTGAGGTTATCCTTTCCAAGCACATTTAGGGTCATGTTCTCAGAGGGCTGAGGCTAAACCTTATGAAAGCATGTGGAATCTAGAGCTACAGACATCCAGCATGATTTTTCCTCATGAAAGGGATAAGTTGAGCCTAGTTTTATATTCTGCCAACAGTGACTCTGAGGCCATGCCTTCCAAGTGGGCTGGTCTTTAAATTTGCCACCTTTGGATTCCGATTCCCCATCATTTAATCCTCAGATATGATGGGTCTTCAGCCCCCACACCCAGGATGCTTGACTAACTTATTTAATTTATTGCTTGATTCTGTTCTGTATTTTTATTTGTTAGGCTAAAATTTTTAAGCATTTTAAGCATTTATTTTAAAATAAAACCTACTTGGATTTTGCATAGCTCCCATGTCTTATCTGGACAGTCACAGTCCTAAGGTCTTTCTCATGAAAGTTTTAACTTCCAGTTTTCTGGAACATAAAGAATGTTTGTATCCTAAAAAAAGTTGCACAGAGCACATAAACAGGGATTATATTTGGATTACAACCTTGATTTCTTCACATATGGTGTAATATAATACCTTAGCTCTCCAATTGTATTATAAGATTTTTGGCATGGACTGTATACCAGTGCTGGCCAATGGAAATGTAATTAGAGCCACATATGTAATTTAACAGGTTCTAGTAGGTAAAAAGAAACAGGTAAAATTAATTAATTTTTTTTAGCCCAGTATAATCTAAATGTTATTTCAAGAAATAATCAACATAAAATTTGAGTTATTTTACATTCTTTTCTTCTTACTGAGTCTTTGAAATTCAGTGTTATTTTATTCTTACTAACATCCCAACTCAGACTAACCACATTTCAAGTGATCAATAGCCACATGTTGCTGGTGGCTTCTGTGTTAGGCAGTGCAGTTGTATATGTACTTCTGCAACTTAGCTCTAGTAACATAATTGTTGCTATCTATATATGTACATGTATATATTTATTTTAGATACAGATTTGTCTAATTGAATAAAATAGAAAATATTTTGAAATATATATCTTTATTTTCTTTCTCTTAAAGGCCCTTCCTTCTTCCATGATTATAGTAGCAGTTTATTGTCCTGTGATAGCTGCTGTTTTCATTGTTCTGAAGATGGTCAACTATCGACTACACAGAGCCCTTGATGCAGGAGAAGTTGTAGATAGGAGTGCAAATGAGTTCACAGATCAGCGAGCCAAAGCTGAACAAGGCAACTGTTCAACCAGGAGAAAAGACAGCAATGGACCAAGGTAAGGAAACCTGTGACACTCAGTTTGTAACGAGATAGATCGTGGTATGAGCACAATGGTGGGATTATTGTGTTGTACCTGTTCTCTTTATATGACTTTAAGGCAGCATTAGATCTTACACTTTAAATATAATGACAAGTACAGATTGTAATATTAGAACAGAACAAAGCTAACTGGCTTGTTTGAGGGATTAAATCAATATCCTTGCCCTTGTTACTAAACAAGTTAGACCAATTTGCTGCTGTATGATAGTTACTTACACCAAAGGCCAAAGTCAATGAAAAACAGCCTAAAGAAATAATTAAGCATGGGGTATCAATTTCAAAATTATATCTTAAGCAAAGTGTAATAATATTTTACTTGACATTTATGATCCACATTTTTCACTTAATCTAGTGTAAATATCTTTCAGATTTATATTCTTACCTTAGAAACTTAGCTTCTCTTTTCCTAGATCTTGGCAAAACTGACTTCTTAAGATGCAACTCTGGCTAGATGTCATCTCCTCCTGGAGGTTTTCCCTTCCCATCCCAGCTGAAGTATTACTCCTGTTGCTCACAGTTGCATTCTCTTGGTGACCTTGGCCTTACCCACTTTCTCTTTGACAGATGAATCTACTTTATTCATAGTCAGAAGTTTATTGTGACCTTACAGAAATAACAGGTACCATTAATATAACAGCAATTTCTTTTGTGAACACTCGACATATGTAAACTGACTTAATTCTCAAAACCATTCTATAAGGTAGATACTGTTATTATCCCTGATTTACAGATGTGAAAATCGAGGTGAAAAAGGTCATATAATCTAAGCAGTTGTTTCCACTCGGCATAATATGAAGTATTTCACGTATCAAGGTACAAATAATAATAATGAAAAGTAGGCATTCCTCTGTTAAGACAGGTAATATTTCTGTGTATTTTCCAGTGTGTTAAAAGCTTCTGTTTATCCTTTTTCAATTATATTTTTACTCATTCCTAACATGATTACCCTGTTTGTTCATTGAACAAATATTTTACTCTTATAATATTTTTTTATTGCATTAATCACTATCTGAAATTACCTTAATCATTTATTTGCATTTATAAGCTTCTTGAAGGTAGGGGCCTTGTTTTTCCTATAAATTATTCTATTCCAAGGTCCTAAATCAGTGTCTGGCTCTGATAGGTAGGTACTCAGGAAATATTGGCAAATTTAAATGTTAGAAATATCATTGTGATATTTAAATTTTAAACGATTAAATGTTTTACTATAATTTATCAAAGGTGGAATTACTAGAAAGGCTATATACACTTCCAAATTCCAAAGATTTTATTAAAATCTTTTCAAAGATTCTGGCTACTATAAGCAACACTTCGAGGGCTGCCTGTTTTGCACTTCTGACAACACTGAGTATTTAGTAGTTTGAAAAAATGTGATATCTCATTGTTTAATTTTTCCATTTTTGGTTTAGTGAAATGGAAGTATTTTTCTTGTTATTGCCATTTATATTTGTTATTTTGTGAATTGTGTATTCTATTGGTAGTTCGTTTTTTTGCTGTTTATTTGGAGAAGATAATTATTTATGAAGGATAGCAACTCTTTATCTTCTGTGTCAAATACTTTCCCTCAGTTTATAGTATTTTATCAATTTATATGCCATAATTTATTTTTATATGATCTATTCTATGTATGTTTGTTATTTCTGCTTTTGACATCAAGTTTTTTAATATTTTCCCCTCCCCCAAATTATATATTCACTTGTATCTACTTTAAGTATTTTTATCATTTTACTTTTACTCTTAAGTTAGTCGATTTGAAAACATTTTCACTTAATACATTTAAGTTTATTTGTTCAAACGCCATTCATTAAATAATTGATTTTTCCCAGTAATTTTAAATCTTTCTTTTTCATGTAGCATACTTACATATATGTATGTCAGTTTCTGAGCTTTGCTTTCTGCCCCATTGATCTTTCTATTTTTGTTTATACCATCCTGTTTTTATCATTGGAGCTTTATAATATGCATAATACTTAGCAGTATAATTCCCTCCTCAATATTTCTTTTTTAAGAATTATTTTGAGGCTGGGCGCGGTGGCTCACGCCTGTAATCCTAGCTCCCTGGGAGGCCGAGGCGGGCGGATTGCTCAAGGTCAGGAGTTCAAAACCAGCCTGAGCAAGAGCGAGACCCCGTCTCTACTATAAATAGAAAGAAATTAATTGGCCAACTGATATATATATAAAAAATTAGCCGGGCATGGTGGCGCATGCCTGTAGTCCCAGCTACTCGGGAGGCTGAGGCAGAAGGATCGCTCGAGCCCAGGAGTTTGAGGTTGCTGTGAGCTAGGCTGACGCCACGGCACTCACTCTAGCCTGGACAACAAAGCGAGACTCTGTCTCAAAAAAAAAAAAAAAAAAAAAATTATTTTGGTTATTCTCACATATGTATTTACTTTTTTTGTGAGATGTCTTCCTATGTGCTCATCTTCTGAAAAATTCCATTAGAATTTTCATAATTATATTAAATTTGGAGAAATTCAGCCTTTAAAATAGAAACATGGATGAGATTTCTATTTATTTTCATATAGTTTTATTTATCATCCATTTGTTCATTTTTCTGTCTCATAGCATTTCAGATTTTTTAAATGGCTTCTGTACATTTCTTAAGTCTATTTTATTTCCATTAATAAATACATACTCTTACATTGTGAGTAAGCAAACAAAATGTAGACTACGTAATTCGTCAGCTGAGGCTTGAATCACCTCCTAATTATATGACCTTGGAGAAGTTACTTAAACTTTTTATGCCTTGGCTTCCTCATCAGAATGATGAGGCAAATGATGGTATTATCTCATAGACTTATTACAAGGAGTAAATGAGATAATATATATATAGCACTTGAATAATTCTTGACATATTTAATTAACTACTCCATAATTGTTCTAATCATTTTTGGATATTATGTCTATTTTTCATTGCTTCTGTTCCATCTTTTAGTTTTAAAACAGATTTATTGTGAAATATATACATTCCAAACAGTATATCAAATATATATAATTTTTGAATAATAATCATGTGAATACTTAATTACCCACCACACAGCTTCAGAACTAGATTATGCAAATATCATATAAGCTCCACACACTCCTTTCCTATTTCATTCCACTCTTCTCTTTAAGAGTAACCATTATCCTGAATTTTATATGAATAATATTTTCTTTATTGTTATACAGTCTTTGTAGATATACCTAAACATATGTATTATTTATTTTGTCTGCTTTAGGACATTCTAAATAGAATCATACCAAATATATATTCTCTGTGAGTGGCTTTTGTGGAGAGTATAGTATTTTACATATTATTTTATTGACTTTCTCATCCTGATGTGTGTAGCTAGAATTTTTTTTTCTTTTTTTTGAGACAGGGTCTTGCTCTGTCATCTAGGCTAGAGTGCAGTGATGTTATCATAGCTCACTGCAGCCTCGAATTCCTGGGCTCAAGTGGTCCTCCTGCTTCAGCCTCCCGAGTAGCTGGGACTATAGGCTTGTGCCACCATGCCCAGCTAATTTTTCTAATTTTTGTAGAGATGGAGTCTTGCTATGTCGCTCTAGCGATCTTCCCACCTTGGCCTCCCCAAGTGCTAGGATTACAGGTGTGTGTCACCATGCCTGGCCTGTAGCTAGAATTTACTCAGAGTCACTGTCATATAGTCTAACACTGTGGGGATAGACTACAATCTTTTTTATCCATTCTTCTGTTGATAGCTATTCACATTCTTTCCAGTTTTTTTCTCTGGTAACACATTAATGTATATATCTTCTAGTACACATGTATGTATCTAGTTTATATAAACTGGTCCATAGAGCATTTTTCATGTTCAATTTTATTAGGTAATTCCAAGCTGTTTGCCAAAGATTTTACCAGTTTACACTCTTACCAGTAATGTATGAAAGCCCTTATTGTTCCACATCCTTATGAGCAGTTGATATTGGCAAACTTTAAAAATTTGCCAGTCATGTAAGTATAAATTGTGTCTCATTATGACTTAGTTAACTTTTCTGATTACTAATGAGGTCGAGCATCTTATTTTATATATATGGTCCTTTTAGGTTTTCTCTTCTTTCCAATGCCCATTTATGTATTTAGTTTTCTTTGGAATTATCTTTTTCTTATTGATTATTAGGAATTTTTAAATATAGTTATACTACTCTTTTATTAGTTGTGTATATTATAGACATCTCCCAGTTTGTAGCTTGTCATTTTGCTTTCCTTAAGATTTCTTATGACTATCATATATTCTTAAATTGAATATAATGAATTTGATCATTTTTTGGTAGTTAACATTTCATATTCATATTTAATATTCTTGTCTTTTAAAATCTCATGTTTCTTGTGTATTTACATTTCATTTCTACCTGAAATTATTTTATCTGTAGTGTCAGGTCAGGACTTAAGACTTACTGTTTTATTTATGAATGTCTGGTTTATCCAGTATTGGTTAAATGGACTATCTTTTCTTTAGTAACAGTATTCTCTCTGGCATAAGTTAAGTTTTCAGATATGGTGGCATGTTTCTGGGTTGTTTTCTGTTCTGTTGATCCAGTTGCCTATGCCTGTGCCGTTATCACACTATCCTAATTATATCTTTTTTTTTTTTTTTTTTTTTTTTTTTGAGACAGAGTCTCGCTTTGTTGCCCGGGCTAGAGTGAGTGCCGTGGCGTCAGCCTAGCTCACAGCAACCTCAAACTCCTGGGCTCGAGTGATCCTTCTGCCTCAGCCTCCCGGGTAGCTGGGACTACAGGCATGCGCCACCATGCCCGGCTAATTTTTTTATATATATATATCAGTTGGCCAATTAATTTCTTTCTATTTATAGTAGAGACGGGGTCTCGCTCAGGCTGGTTTTGAACTCCTGACCTTGAGCAATCCGCCCGCCTCGGCCTCCCAAGAGCTAGGATTACAGGCGTGAGCCACAGCGCCCGGCCTATATCTTTATAATTATATAAATTATAATTCTT